TCCTTCTCTGTCGACTGTCGCCCGTGAGGCAAGTCTGTGCCCTGTGCAAACAAAGCCCTCGAAGCGCGCCTCAGGACCGGCAGTTACTGCCACCACCTTTAGGGACGTGCCCCGCCGCCCCGCCGCAGGGCGCAGGGGCTGACGGCTGGCTGGCTGGGTCTGGGCCGAGCTCTTGGATGCAGACATGTGTGGTGTGGGTGGCAGGGCCGCCGCGGCTCCGTGGTCGAGGTCTGTGGGCTGATTCCGAACTCTCTCGACGCCCCGTCTCGCTCGCACTACGAGGGGCGTCCAGTGTGCGTGCGAGAGGGACAGAGCACGGCTGGGAATCACACTGCAGGGCCTCCATGGCCTTCGCTTATCACGCGCTGAGCCATGTCCGCAGCGGCTCATACTGGTGAAAACCCTTCCACAGCTTACCCAGACTCTTTTAGAGCCATGCCGGCTGCGCCACTGGCAAGGCGATGCTGAGCCCGGCCACCCCGTGAGTCCGTGACGCAGATGAAAACATACTGCACTCGCCAATTTGGCCCAAGGTCGCGATCGGATTAATTTTACGACTTTGGGACCGATTGCGAGCGTCGATGGCCGACCGGCCGCTGTGCCACTCAAAGGCATGCCTCTATCTCCGTGTCGGTGTCGTCTCTCTGAGGCGGAGTTTGGCGGTTTGGCGAGGTTTGGCCTCTTTGGCGGCAGGCAGCCCGCCCTTCGAGCACCGGGACCATCGCGTCGTGGAAACGGCGACATCGGCGACAAGCAGACAAGTAATCCCCTCGTTGGGGAAACAATAAAATCCGCTTGCGAGCCGACAAAGCGACGACTAAGCCGTCAGCCACCTCCTGGTCCTCTGGATTCACCTGGTTCGGCTCTCCTGGTTCATCCGGGTCCTCCGGGTCCTCCTGACAGATCAGTCGGCCGCTCTGGCCGTCGCGCGCCGTCGCGTTGCGGCCGTCGCGAAGGCGAAGCTCTCTCTCGTCTGGATGGTCTTGACCGCCTCGACAGTCGACCCCCGTGCGGCACTTCGTACTTCATTGGGCCTCATTCAGCCGCCAGCCACCCAACGCACGCGACCTCGCGGCCGCGGGTGGCCGGTGGCGCCTTGCCTTGCCCTTGCCGGCGCTGTCTCTCTCGCACCCCTGCGGGCCGCCCCGCGAGTGCGAGAGAGACAGGGCGGCCTGGGGGCGCGGCTCTGCGTCGGCACACGTGCGCGACCCGTCGCAAGTGACCGCGTCCATCTTCGCCGCCTCGCGGCCCCGCGGCCCACCTGCCGCGGTTTTGCATAATGAAGCGTGGAAGCGGAGCGCGGAGCGTGCCGCCCGTGCCACCTGCCGCCGGATCGCGGATCGCTTCTTTGCGCTCGGCCGGTCGTCTAAGTCTAGGCCCCGGCCATTCGCCGCCACTCACTCGGAAGCGGCTCATGAGACTTCGACTTCACACGCGAATGTGTTTCAGTGTGTTTCAGACCTATCAACTTATCGTTTCTCGTTTTCGCTCAAACTCTTATCTGTCCTGCGGCCATTTGATCCTGCACAGACTGATTCCCAGAGTCGTTTCGTCGCTCTGTCTCTCTCGCACGGGACACCCTATGAGTGCGACAGAGACAGAGTGACGACAACGACACTCAGTCTGCTGCTGGAGCACGCCGTGTGTATTGGAATCGCCAGGACGCAGTGTGTCACCTCCGACACTCCTCGGTGTCACGCCAATGAGAAACACTTGACCCCTCAATTGGAAAGCGCGGCTCGCGGCGCGCGGCGCGCACACACACTGTACAGTGACCACAGTGTGCACGCGGCCACTGATCGCTGTGGTCCTCACGGGTCACATTGTGGTAATCATTCCATTCCGACACTCGGCAGTCGATTCCAGACACGGCCGCGTTACACATTCACGCTGTGTTCTAAGCCTAATCCACGCCTATCTGCCTGTCCGTCTGTGCGTCTGTTCGTCTGTCTGTCTGTCTGTCTGTCTGTCTGTCTGTCTGTCTGTCTGTCTGTCTGTCTGTCTGTCTGTCTGTCTGTCTGTCTGTCTGTCTGTCTGTCTGTCTGTCTGTCTGTCTGTCTGTCTGTCTGTCTGTCTGTCTGTCTGTCCGTCCGTCCGTCCGTCCGTCCGTCCGTCCGTCTCGAGGCAGATTTATCCACCTGCCAATTCCTCACCAGTCCTGTCCTCCCTGACACATCACGATCGATGACTTCATTTCGCGGCCCGGTCCTCCTTTCGTTGACCTTCTTTTCGCCGCTACTCTAATAACGTGTAATCATTTCAATTATTTATTTTTTATTTTATTTCTTTTTGACAGCATGAGCTCATTGGTTGCCTCTGTCGCCACCCGGGCCGGGCGCACACACACACACACACACACACACACACACACACACACACTCGACTTGTCCATTTGCCCGATCCGATTGCCCCGCGCTGTCCAGCAGGGTGTTTGCGGCACTCTCGGAAACGGTTTCGCCGATCTAATGCAAATGAGGTGCCGCTGGGAGGGACTCCCGCCCGGTCTGCCCCCATCATACCCCGCCCGGCCCCAAATTGGGCATTTAACTCATTTCCACACGCTTGCCAACCTCGCTGAATATTTTATCCCCGATCCGGGAGCAGCCTGGCCGTGGGGCGGGGCCCTGCCATGGTGCCGGTCACCGGGATAGGAGTTGCTATTCTTTCCCAGGGAATCGGTTTGAATAGTTTGAATCGAAGTCGCCAACTCTCGTAGCCCTCAAGCCGGAAATGCGGATGTTGTTGTCGTTTTTCCAGCGTCGGCCTGCATCAGCTTGCCGCGGCTGTCCGTAGACTGATTCCGAGTCGTTTTTCGTCGCTCTGTCTCTCTCACTCAGGGGCGAGACGCATAGGCACGAAAGCGACGAGAACGACTCTCGGAATCAGTCTGCAGGCTGTCAATGGGGCGCTGCGCGTCCGCTGCTCGCGGCTCGCGTTTCGCCCTTTGGCAAGCTTTGGCTCCGACTGCTCCCTCCGTCGGACTCGGCGACTCGCCGAGCCGTGCCTTTGTTCCCGATCACCTGATCGCCAAGTGAACCAGTGATTACCGAGAAAGTTGCAGCCGGCCGCCCCGCGGGCCGAGGCGCGCGTGCTGCCTTTCCGCCCGCCCCGCCCCGCCCCGCCCCGCCCGCCCCGCCCCGCCCCGCCCCGCCCCGCCCGCCCCCCCGCCAAGCCTGCGGTCCAGTAGTCCATTGAAATGGCACGCGCGGACAGCTCGCCGCGAAACGCTCAGCGCGGGCTTTACAGTGCCGCAGCAGCCAAGCGAGCCAAGCCGTGCCCATTTGTGTGCCAGTGCTGTGCCGAGCGTCTGAAAGAATACGAACGGACGAATGAGCGTTGGCTGGTACTTGAACCCGCGGACCGCCACCGCCACCCCACTGACCTACACTACTACGCGCAGTGGCCGCTGCCGGTGCGGTAATAGGCGATCGGCTGCGCGCGTTACTCCGTTACAACCGTTACACGTCGCAAGGCGAGTGCGGAACAGGAGAGGGAGAGGGTCCCTAGATGAAACCGGCAGAGCGGACCGGACAACGTGACACGCGCGATACGTGACGTGACGTATGACGTGACGTATGACGTCACGCGCGTCTCGAGATCGGACGGAACTGTCACAGCGGCGGCAGCGCTGGCCACCACGTGCTTTGGCGCGCTTCCGCGGGAAGTTTGCTGCCGGCGAACGGGACGGGGCGGACGCGACGCGGACAACCAGTGTCGCGATGATATGGACCTGCCACAAAGCTGCCACCGGCTGCCACACTGCCGCCACGCTCTAGGCTTCGAGGGACACGAAACGCGAGGAGGTGTGGAAGCGAGATTGTGTCACATTTCGGCAAGGCAGCAAAGCGCGCCGCCGCCGTCGTGTTCCGCCCCGCGCCGTGCGTCGCCGCCGTCGTGTCCGCCAAAGTGGCGTGTGGCCGATGGCCGTCGCCGTTGTCGTCTCGCCGTCGAGAGCGGAAATTTTTCGAGAGCCCCCTCCACCCCACTGTGTTTTTGCCGGGTCCACGCTCCTCGCGTGCGATTTGAGAATGTCCTGCATCAGCCCGACCCGACCCGGCCGCCCTTCCTGCCCGCACTTCCCTCTTCGCTAACTGCGTCGTCGTGTGTGTGTGTGGTGTGTGTGTGTGTGTGTGTGTGTGTGTGTGTGTGTGTGTGTGTGTGTGTGCGTGTCCCTGTGTGTGTGCGTGCAAGTTGGTTGGTCCGGTTTTATTGGGTCGTTCCGTGCTGATGGACGAATGACTCATTTTCTTGACTCGGATCCCACATCCCGCCGCAATGTGAGGCAAGCCGCCAACGAATCGCGAGTCCGAGAGACTCATCTCGCTCGCCCGCCCCGGCCGAGCGATTCAGAAGATGGGCTCTCTCTCTCTCTCTCTCTCTCTCTCTCTCGCACCCTCACGGAGAGCCCCATGCGAGCGACAGAGACAGAGCGATGACTCTTTTGAATCGCTCGGCAGCTCCGCGTGTCGCCGCGTCGCCGCGGGGCGTGGCGGCCTGGTGGCGGCCTGGTGGCTGCCGGGCCCGCGAATCGCGAATGTGCCCGGCCGGCCGGCGAAAGGCATGTGTGGTCTGAGCGGGGAGGGGGAGGGGGAAGGGGGCTCGAGCCTCAAAGGCGTTGTTGTGGTCCTGCCGAGCCGCGCGGCCTCGCGGCCTGCCCGTGCTCGGTACGTGGTACGTGTACGTGGTACGCCGGCCTGCACTTCCAGCAACAAGTGAGGGCACGGAGAACGGAGTGGAGGATGTGAGGCGAGTCCTGAGTCCTGCGAGTCCCCACGTGTCAGTGGGTCCTGTTTTGGGGACTCTGGGCCCATGGGCGTCGAGGCTGCAAGCTGGTTCCGAGAGACGTTTTCGTCGCTCTGTCTCTCTCGCACTCGTGGGGCGTCCATAGGTGCGAGAGAGACAGAGCGACGAAAACGACTGTCGGAATCGGTGTGCTGCTCGAGGCGGGCGGCCAACCCGGCTGCATGACACCACCACAACGACGCTGCTTCCTGCTGCAGGTGACGCCGCGAGGTCCGCGACGCTGACGCCGAGCTCGGCTAGCTCCACCGGGCCATGACGGCGGCGGCGCGTGCCGGGGTGCGCAAGGGCGGCCCCGATGGCGGCGAGGCGGCCGTGCCGCTCACCAAGGAGGGCGCCGCGCCCGTCATGCGGGCCCCGGACGGCGGCTGGGGCTGGATGGTCGTCCTGGGCGTCGCCATGGTCAACGTGAGTACACCATCAAGTACAGGTGACGGTTTACGCGGCACAGTATGCCAGAAGATCGGTGGGGAGGCGGTCAAAATCCCGGACGGGTTTTGAACTGAAGAGTCACTAAACAGGACTCGAACCGAGCGTGCGACCCCACCAATGGATTCCTCGTTCGGAGAGCAATCCATTGGTGGGGTCACACGTTCAGATCAAGTCCTGTTTAGCGACTCTGGAGCTCAAAAAGCGTCTAGAGTTTTGGCCGCCTCCACCGGTATTCTGGCCCACTGTGCGCGGTGAGTGGTCTTCCCCTTGCTGCTCGCTACGACAGCATCGCTCAATGTTGCAGCTGGCCACCCGCTCGCTGGAGCCGTCCTTCGGCCTGCTGTTCGGCGCCACCCTCAAGCAGCTGGGCGTGGCCACGACGGGCGCCGCCATCATCGTCAGCACCCAGGACGCGCTCATCAACTTCTCAGGTGAGGCCCTGGCCCTGGTCTTCCCTCGTCCTTGGCGCGGACGACGCCGCGGACATTAGTAACTCGCTGCAGACTGATTCCCAGAGTCGTCTTCTCCGCTCTGTCTCCCTCGCACTCGTGGGGCGTCCCGTGTAGGTGCGAGAGAGACAGAGCGACGAAAACGACTCTCGGAATCAGTTTGCTGGGCGCTGTGCGCTGCGCGTCCTCGCGACGTCCCCGTCGTCCTCGTGCTGGTCATCGATCTGCACGGCGCGGCGCTGGCGCCGCGAGAGGACGGCCCATGGCCCATGCGGCGCGGGCCGGGCCGCCTCGTGTAGAGGAAGTCGCAATGAACGGCCGCGCGCAATGAGCGATGGGCACTACAGCAGCTGCCGCCGCGCCTCGGAACGTTGGAACGTCGGAAGGAGACATATTTTATAAACATTGGCCGTGGCCAAGGCCCGGGCGCTCGCGCCCGCCTTGCCGGCGTCCTTGCAGCTCCACGTGCTCACTATGCTCACGGTGTAGCTGCGCTAGCTGCGCCCAGGGGCGTGTGGCTGCAGCGCGCTCGAGAGGAAGAGCTGCTGAGTTATGGGCTGCTCAGTCGATTACGCGCCGCGACCCTGACGCCCTGACCCTGGTTGGGTTTCGGGTTGGACCCGCCGGGACATCATGGGAACACACTAGCTCTGACCTCACGCGCCCTTTTTGTCCGCAGGGCTGTTCGCCGGGCCGCTGATCCGGCGCTACTCGTACCGCAAGGTGGCCTTCGGCGGCGCCCTGCTGGTGTCCATCGGCATCCTGGCCACGGTGCCGGCCAACAGCGTGACGCACATCATCGCCACGTACTCGGTGCTCATCGGTGAGGTCCCGGTCTGCCTCCCCGTGGCCGTGCCTTTGGCCGTGCCCTTGGCGGCCGTTGGCTCAGCGCACGCGTGTTGCTTGCAGGGCTGGGCGTGGGCTTCTCCTCGGCGGCCACCTTCGTGTCGCTGTCGCACTACTTCCAGGCGAAGCGCGGCCAGGCCGTGGGGCTGAGCATGGCCGGCACGGCGCTGGGCTTCATGCTGGCCCCGCTGCTGGTGCGCTACCTGCTGGACGAACTGGGCTTCAGCGGCGCGCTGCTCGTGCTGGGCGGCGTGGCCTTCAACGGGCTGGCCGGCGCCATCCTGCTGCAGCCCGCCAAGTGGCACCTGGTGCCCGTCGACCCGGAGCACGAGCTGCAGCTCGAGATGGAGGAGCAGGACGAGCAGGACGACCCCCACGACACGCCCATGATCCGCGAGTCGGCCATCGCGCTGCTGTCGCGGCCGCGCATCGAGCTGACGCTCGTGGAGGAGGACGAGGAGGCCCAGCTCACGCTGCGCGCCCAGAACAACGAGCGGAAGACGTCCACCGTGTCCACGGGCGGCGGGCTGGCGTTCGAGGTGTTCACCGACCCCAAGAGGAAGTTCTCTGTCGTGGCCGCCCCGAACGACCCCGCCAACGCCACCTCCAAGGCCAGCCTGGAGGACTCGGAGCCTCAGGTAAGTGCCGCGGGGAAATCGCTCTCGCTCGTTGTCAAGTCCCAGCAGTGCCTCAGCTTGGGCGCGCTGGTTGTTCGTTTTACCTTTTTCACATAAGCATCACGGTTCTCCGCAGCTTTATCATCCATGTCGCAAGCTCTCCCAGCCAGCCATGCCCCGCAACGCCTCTGTACTCAGCATGGAGGACCATCCTCCCCGCAGGATGGGATCTGGCAGGCATGGTTTGCCGAGAAACACCTCTGTAGTGTCCATGTCGGTGGGTGTTGGTGCTTGAGCTAAATGTTGCTTTTCCCCACCAAAGGTTGCTCAACTTATTAACGACTGTCTCTTGCGCATTCCAGGTCGCCGACAACACTGCCCACGGCGAGAGGAAGTTGTCCCGCACGACTTACGGCATTCCGCGCAATGTGTCTTGGATCAGTATGAGCGCCGAAGACACGCCGGGCCGGAAGCTGAGTCGTGCCGGCGGACTGACGCGGGCTATGTCGTCGACGCGCATCCGGAAAACGTCTGTGATATCCGCCAGTAGCTTGGACCTCACTGGGAGTCTCATGGCTATCGCTGCAGTGAGTATTCCAATGCCCCCCTGCTCCAGGCGCGGTTCCAGAATTTGGCTAAGGGGAGGGTAAAAGTGGTGCTATTTGCCTACCTCCAGGTGGTCTATCTAGTACCCAAGGGAGGGGTATTTACCCCCATTACCCCCTACCCCCTTTCCGGGAGCTGCAACTGTCCTGTTCGTCTTGTTTTAAACAAATCAACGACATTACATTCTCATTTATTTTCCAGGCATCTCAACAAGATATCTATCGGTCCACTCAAAACAACAATACAATTACTGCCTCACATGAAAACATCAATGAAAAGGCTGACGCCAGTCCTGTATCATGCTGGAAGAGAATATCAAATTTCTTAGATCTTGATCTCCTGAAAGACTCAACATACCTTAATATTACATTAGGGCTGTCACTCTTTTGGGTAGCTGAGCTGCATTTTAAGATGGTGGTCCCATTTTTCTTGGCTGATTTGGGTCATACCAAAAAAGACACTGCCTTTTGCCTCAGCATGGGTGCACTTTCTGATATCATAGCTCGCCTTATACTTCCACCTATTTGTGACAAAGTGAAGTACAAAAAGAGAACTATGTTCTTCGTCGCTTGCATTTTCTTAACAATTTCAAGATCAAGTAAGAAGATTTTGTTGAATTTAAAAATGAACTTTTACTGGTATGCTAAGCTTTTTCTTATCCTTAACTTTTTTTTTTGACAGTAATGGCTGAACAAACTGAATGGGCACCCCTAATTGCAAGTTTAGTTGTGTGTGGTTTCTTCCGTGGTGCCACCCTCATTAACTACCAACTTACAGTGGCAGAGTGTGTCACTTTAGACAAATTGCCAGCTGCTGTTGGCCTCAACATGGTGGCTAAGGGAATAACAGTCGTCTCTTTAGGCCCATTACTCGGTAAGTTTTTTTTTGCTTTGTGATATTTTGCTTGACTTGTGGCCATTCCTCTGTAACACAGTGAACCCTTTTCAGGTCTCGTCAGAGATGCCACAGGAAGCTACCCCATCTTCATTCACTCTCAGTCATTTGTCATGTCCCTAGGGTTGCTAGCATGGGTGGTAGAGTATTTGTATTTGTGGGTGAAACACTCATCTAAAAGACATAGTGAAATTTAAAAAGTCTGACTTTTTATCAACGAATTAAGTACAGTATCATATTGAAGTCATGTGATTGTGATGTCATGTACTTTTAAGATTTTATTTTTGTGTGTGTGTATATTTTTAGGAAGCTCTTTGCTAGCTGTGGTAGTTCCTTGGACCAATTTGAGTATTTTTACTCAGAATTAGTGTATTGTTTTTCTGTTTTGGTGATGCAACTGTACATGCATTTTTTTTGTATGTGCCCAAACTGACTCAAAGAGGATAATATGACTTATTATACTCTGTCATTCTCTCTCTCTTTCTCTCTATCTATCTCTGTGATTCAAATTCTGTTAGCGAGATGCATTCTTATTCCTGAGTTACTAAAACAAGGATTGATTACAGGAGTTGGTTCATGGATTTCTCTAGTATGATATTTCTTGAAGATAAGGAATGTGTGATCTTTTGGAGAAGATTTATAATTACAGTTTGTCTTACTATTATTGTAACCTAGCTAAATTTGAACATCACATTGGTTTGTGATATACACATATTTTCTCTCACTATATTTACAACATTTTTCTATTCCCTTGGAATTTTTTAAAAAATTCCTGAACCTTTGTATTTTTTATTGAAATTTAGAACTTGGAATCTGCTCTCTGGAAATCATTCCTAATGCTCAATGAATTTTTTCTGCTTCATTTTTTCTTGTAAATATCATTGATCATCAAAAATCTATTTTATAATAATTAGGACACTCGGCTTTTAGAATTGTAGTTAAGTGTGTTTGTGTATGTGTTTGAGTGTTTGTGTGAATATGTTGTACAGTTGAGGATGGTTGGAAAAGAAAGATAAGCATTTAGTATTTTTCCTTTTCCATTTTATTTCATGGAATTCATAGCTTATTGATTTGTGGAGATTTGAGACAATAAACGCTCACATGATACAGCAGACATGGTAATCTGCTTAAAGAGAAATGACCACTACAGTATTCATTGTTACAAAATAATTTATAAAACAAAAAAAAATTAAAAAAATGAACCAGAACAATAAGCTGTACCTGCTGCCGCTGGCACATTTTTTGAATGAAATTGTTAGTATAAGAGTCCGTAGGGTTCATATTTAAAACACTGTAGTAAACATGATTGCATGACAAGGGGGTTACAAATGTGTGCCCCTGCGCATTCCCCTCAGGTTTTTCCCTGTAAGGTTGCCAAGGAAAGGGTAAACTTGTACACAAAGTTTGTCTTCCATCAGTGCAGTGTTTGAGACACTGGGTCTCTTTAAGACTGTAACATGCGCCTACATGTATAAATAATAAAATAAAATATTTTAAGAAAACAACAATTTAAACCAAATGTTTCTTATTGTGTGCCTTTACATCAACCTTCAACTCCAACACATTGCAGTTTAACCCCACATCTGAGAATACTTAAATGGTAGGCAATGTCTGGGATCAACCTTTGTTTCCCTCAGTAAAACTTGCTCAACTTTGAATAAACGGCGAAGGGAACACACAACCACTGAAGGAGGAAGCAAGCCGGGCTCCGTGAGATTAAGCCCAACAACATTATTTTTTCTGACAGCATCAAATAGGCTTTCAGCATCAAAGATATTTTCACTGTCTTGTCCACCAATGGTATTCCATATCCACTTCCACTCCAAATGTGATAGTCTTGTGGTCTTCAACGCATGCTGTAAAATATGTTGACTAGCGAGGCCAGTCAAAATCTCATGTTCAATGAACATGTTGGTTTCAGCTTTATCAAAAATCCTTTCCTGAAACACGATTTCCAGTCTCAAAATCAAAACAAAATTATGTAATTTTTAGAAAATCTAAACATTGCACACTTGTTACCTCATCTGCTTCAAAGTTGCTGGAGTCTGGTAGAGGACCCAATGCAATAGCTATTAAAGTGGCAAGACAAAGGGGCTGACAACTATCCATTACATCTGAAAAGTTATCCAACATGATTTCCAAGGATCGCAATGGTACTGCTGGTACCTCCCCTTGACAAAGAAGGCCCGCTTTCGACCTTACTTCAGAGTTGTCATCGCAAATTAGTCTAAGAGCATTTATCCAGAGCTCGCATACTGTTTCATCTGTAATAATAATAATAATAATAATAATAATAATGATAGATTTTTAAAAAGTTGCTATAAAGGAGATACAGATGTAGTAAATAGATACAAATTTTTAAAACTTACCAGACAGAAATGAATATTTGCGATTTAGGGCCTGCCTATGAAGTAAGAGGAAATTCACAGCACTCAATCGACTAATAACACCTCTATCCACATCACAGTAAGAGATTAGAAGTCTGCAGCCATCTTCACAAATCAGTGGTATGTCCTCCTGCAAATGCAATAAATGAAACAAATTCCTTCCAAAATTTAAGCCATTGAAATAACCTACACCTACCTTGGAATCAATAAGAAATCGGAGAAGAGATGAAAAGCATGCTAAAGCAGCACATGAGGTCCCTTCATGAGGAGAGTCGCACCACAATAGTAGTTTCTTGAGGTCTACACTAACACTCCATGAAGCGGGAGACACGTGCACGAGAACGCGTAATGCGAGTCTGCCTTGCACATTGTTGATGCTTTTACTGCCAGTAACAAGTGATGCTAGTATGGCACCAAGTTGGTTACTCTGACAAATTATGTTATAAAATGATAATAAAGCATCTTCCGGCAAACGATTAAACCAGTGTTTGTCACCTGTAAAAGTAGAAGAGTAAAATAAGGAGCACTTGTTGCGGACAAACTGTGATACAATTCTGAAAATAAAAGACTTACCTCCAGACACATCAGGAATTACATCCTCTGTCTCCTCAATGAGCCCGTAAGCTCCCTTGCCCATGAGTTTCTCTAATACAACTAAAATCTCATGAACTATCTCATAATTGAGATGTCTTAACAGTTTTGAAACTATCATTAGAGTATCCTCATCTTGAGCTAAGACTACCAACCGTAACAAAACTCTTGTTGCCCTCAACTGAAGAATGCTTTGACCTAGTGGTGACTGCTTTGATAAGTTATCACAATCCTGTGCCAGAATCTCATTCAAAATTTTGTCTTTTAGGACCGCCCATGATTGTAATGGCACATGAGAGTACCAATTTTCTAAAAACAGCTCAAACACCTGAAAAATTTATAGAGATTGTACAAATAAATTCAAGTTATGTTCTAACTTTCTATTTTATTAATGTGGAAAATTTTCAAACCTGCAACACTACTTCTCTAACAGGATTACTGCAACACCTGTTGAGATGCAGCAGTAATTTTGCAACCCAGGTTTGCAAGTGGTCTAACAGAATCAAATTATGATCTTCATTTAAGATTGATGCATTGCTAAGAAGGTGAACCGCCTGTGCAGAATTGTAGATTTCGATTGTTATAATAGAACCATCAGTAACAAGAATTCACAAATGTACTTTTTGTTTTACCTGTAAAGCCAATCCATGTGTTAGGTTTTCAGAGTTGCCAGATGCCATTTGATCAACCAAGTCATCGAGGTATTTCACATATACATTGGCAGTAATTAGTGGAACTATTGCTTTGGCAGCCAAAACCCGGGTTTTCATAACTGAATTATTTGCACATTGACGGACCAGTGGTACAAAAGTATTTAACTATGAAACATTAAAAAACATTAAAAACATTAAATAACATGCAACGGATTTTATTTAGTTGGAAGAATAATGAAAAATGAATGCTTAATTTAAGAAATTGATTACCTGCATGTTGGTATCTGTTCCTTCTAATGATGAGGGATAAAGTCTTGCAATCAAGAGAAGAATCGGATGCAATATTGCCAATTCTGCAACATCTCCTGAGGTTAAAGCTTTGACTGCTTGCTCCAATTCTTTTAACAGGAATTCATATAATTCTGGATAACGATGAAAAAAGACACGACCAGTCATTTTGTTTCTAGAGCTCAGTTCTTCCCGACTTCTTCTAACACCAAATATGCGAGTCATAAGACTACTGAACAACAATGTAGCAGAGTTGCGTACCTGCGAGAAAAATACAAACAATCAAACTGGCAAATGACAATCATGAATAAATGCCAAGCATAAATCAAGTGCTTACAGCCCATGTCTCCCCCCTGAAGCCTGATATTGCCACAATCACGCCTTCAGAAATGTATGGAGCAACATGTTCAGCAAGAGGAGCATGTCGATATAACGCCCGCAAGATATTGAGAGCATGTGTGTGACATTCTACATGCCTTTCTTTATCTGCAGCACACCCTAGAAGCTGAGACATGGTCCACTGAAGAGTATGAAGACTTAAACCAGTTTGAAGTTCTGCAGAAACCAATGCCTTGAAGAGAGAAAAATCAGCAGTGCAGTAAAATTAAGAATTTTCAGCTGTGTTTCAAGACTGAAGGTAATCCACAACCCAAGGCTTACTTGTACAAGGTAGGGAACACCAGCACTTCTTCTTGTAGCACACAATTTATTCATAGAAATATCATCACTTTGAATAGCTTCCATCAATTCACTTAACCATTTTTGGGGAAGTTCTTGCAAGCTCTTTCGAGAATTTCTAAAAATCATGACAAATAATAGAGATTTTTAGAAAAAATAACAGAAGATAGGGTCAAAAAATCGGTGAAAACTATACTTCTACCTCCAAAGTCGAGATGCTAGAAGACCAAAACCAACATAAGCTTGTTCAAAGGCACCACGATGTTTTGTTTCTTCCAGAAGAGTTGTAAGATGAACCCCAATAGCGAGAATTTGATCTTCGTTCAATAAACCATCAGTGTCCGGCAGTATTGGACAACAGTCAGACAGTTTGCCCAATAAAAGAGACACCTCTTTGACAGTCCGCCATGAGCAAAGTAACACCATCTGAGCCGTAGCCTTCACAGGTGCGGATGAATCATTAGCACTTGTTCCTAGTAACGTAGAACCTTTAAAAAAAAAAAATTGACACTTACACAATCTATTTTATTTTTGTCTTGGATAGACAATAGGTTGGTGATTGGTTGAATTGTTCAAATTACCTTGATTGAAGTCCATTGGCAGGTGCCCCTCTGGAGAGGAGCTATTCACAACTGGAGAAACAATCGTGTTCAACTTAAAACAGAGATCAATCAAACCTTTTATCAAGTTTTGCCAAGATTGTTTGTCCTTCACTTTTCTGTAAAAAAAAAAACAGAAAAAATGGAACAATTTAAAAACCCAATCCACAAGTTATTTTTGACATACATGTCACTAAAAGTTTACCTAAAATCTGGTACAAGCTGCAATAGGTGGCGAATGCAAAACAAAGACCCATACATTGGTCCTCCACTTGCGGCTTCGAGAATGTTGCGCTCAGCAACATCGGATTCTTTCTTAAGCTGCTCTTGAAGATACGCTACAGCATCAAGAAGCTCCAGGGAATGCAATTTTCCGTTTGAACTGAGCATTTACAGGGAATGAAGAAAGTTAAATTTAACTTAATAAATTTGAAGGTGTCATCAAATTAAGAACTTACTTAAAATTTGATTGGGAATATATTTTGATATTTTTCAGATAAAGACAGCAACACAGCTCCATCACATAGGCTGCAGAAATGCAGTCAGCAGGGTGGGTGCTTGATGCTAAGGTACAGCCACATTGGAAGAATCTGAACAGCTTCTGGTTGTCCTAAAAAAAAATACAGGATTAAAATATCCTAACACGAGATACACTTTGAGTGTGACATTCTATCACTTACATCAAACCCCAGAGTGCTAAGTGGGTAGGAGACAAGAAATTTAGTTGCCATGGCCTTGTTTTCTTCAAAGGAGTCAGTGAGGATCACTCCTAGCAATATAAATGCATTTTCTTCTGTCCACATTTGGTCCTGACATGTTTTATTTGTGAACAATGGATCCACTTTCAAAATATCCTACATAGTGAGCATGGACAGAAGGGTTGGTAAGCTATCTTGAAAGACACAATATCGCAGGATTGTCAAGTTCACTTAAATACTCACATCAATAAAAGACAAAACTTTTAAAGAACAAAACCTGCGGCTGTAATTTGAGCCAATTTTGAGGCTGTCAAAACAGAATGACAGAATCCAAAGCAGGAATGTTTTGTAAGACTCCCAAATTTGCATACCATCACCCTCTTCAGTTCTCTTCTGATTCGTAGGTCGGATAAGAGTATGTGCACTTTCTTTGAGCCTGTTCAGAAGCTGAAAGAAAAGAGATTTTAAAGGATGATACAACATAAGTTTTAAATTAATATTATCAAATTATACCTTGGTCACTAATGCAAGAGTTTGTTGACGGAATGATGGAATTTCACAATTGATGTTATATTTCAAAAACTTCCTCAGAAGCATGAAATCTGTCTGAGACAGAATTTCTGTACTGCGATGGGTCTCCACCACCAGACCTAAGGCTGATATACGGACCTGTTTTTGATTAATGTGAAAGAAAACAAACATTTTACAAATATAAAAGATAAGTTTATTTTTAAAATAAGAATCATACCTCATCATTTTCATGACATAATGCGGATTGGAGAACCCCCACAGGCAGAGTTCCAAGCCACAAATTATCATCTGTCTTGGTCTTGGATGAGATTGCACCAAGCTTCCGACCAATCTTCATGCAAGTCAGAAGGAGCTTCATCTCAGAAAGTTCAACATTTGCACCTCTAAAAAAAAAGTTATTGAGGTGTTTGAATCGCATTTCTTGCAAAAATGGCTTTCTATGGAACATAGCCCCAGGGCTTAACTTACTTGTTGGCACTTGGAAGTACCTCATTAATGATTTTTGGACACAATTTCATAATTTTGGAGAGAGATTCCTCAAGAGCAGGAGCCTCAGATGTATTGCATTCCTGCATTACTTGCAGAAGAGGCTTCACCCACAAATTGCACCACTCAGAGTATGGTAAATTCTTAAAATCCACAGTTGCCATTCCCACAAATGCACCAGAAACCTTAAGGAAGGATTTTAAATTAAAACCTCTTTTAAGGAATTTTAAAGAAAGTCATCAATATGAGAATTGTAACTTACATGAGATGACATAGATGAATACTGCATAGCTGTCAGTAAATTCTTTATAACATTTGGTATCCTATTTAAGATATCAGCAGTGCTAAAATGCACAGTCATTGTTGAAAGTATTACATAGCGGCTACGCTTTGTCTCAGGAATTAGTAAAACTGCCTCAGACATTCTATCACCCAAATTAATACCTGTTCAAAACATTTTTCCTTTTAAAACTAAAAAAAAAAACAATTTTCTGAACACAAAATCAAACAAGTTCTTACCAACTGATAGAAAAACATCCTGTAGCTGCATGATGTTTTCTAATATAGATTTGGCTAAATGTCTCACAGGGTCCATATAGTGGTCAAGAAGGCCCCATAAATGTTTCAAAAGATCCTCCAGCTGAGGTAATTCTAAAGACTTCACAAGTGACTGACGCATCGTGAGCACTCTTGTTAGTTGCTGCACAACCCGCCAAAGGGCTAACACTAAATTGCTCTCATGCACACACCTGAGACAAAAATATTAATAAAAAAAGTAATAAATTTTCTTTGAAGTCATGAACACAGTATATGAGTATACCGAGAAACAATTTATGCAAACCGTTCATTTATTTGCAGTGCCGAGTCCAGAATACATGAGATGATTGGTTTGGCCTTTGTCAGATGAATGATTTCAAACTGTTCGTTCTTTAACCCTGAGAGAAGGCCAGAGCAAATGCATAAACTCGACATCTCATCATCCAAAGGAAAACTTTCATTTCCTTCAAGTAACTGCAAATTCATAAAAGCTTTGTGTTAAATAATAACTACTAAGTACTAGAACATTTTTTTTTAAACTAACGTGCATATACCGACCTGCATCCATCCATTTGGGCCATGAAGTAGATCAAGAATCAGAACAAGTACAAATCCAAAGTTAGTTCTAGTGTCCAAAGGCACATGAGAACAATTCAGTATCAGTTTAGAAACTTCTAAAATATTTTCTAGAAGTGGTTTTCTATTTTCAAGACTGTCCAAAATTTCAGATTTTGGTTTCTGGATAGCAGTTATGATTATTCTTGACACCGTGTGTGCAACTTTGCTCACTTCGACCTTAAGCATGGGGGTATTATTGGACCTGTTGATGACATTCAAGTGTTATTAATTTCACTCAAAACTTTTAAGTCAGAAACATGTAACAACAGAGAAAAATTAGTTACATACCTTAAATATGTGAAACATAGGTCTAAGACTTTATTCAAAAATTGCAAAACGTTGCAAAGCATAGAGTCTATTACGACAGGACCCAAGCGGAAGTTTTCATAGAGGCCTAACAATGCACTTGATGCAATTAATATGTCAGAAAGGTCTTGACTGTACATTGCTGTTTCAATGCGGCTGTTAATGCCCTCTTTTAGGTAAAGGATACTCATTTCTTTGACATGACCATCCACAAAATTAAACATCCTTGCAAAAGAAACAGAATTTTAATCAAGAAAATAGTATTATATGAATATTTGTACAAATACCAGCCAAGACACTAACTTGGTGAGAGCATGTTTTACTGGATGCTTCAGGGGTGCTGATAAGTACAGGTCCACAGCAAGTATCACATAATTGAAGTCGATTATCTCGTCATCAGATTTGGTGAGATACACAGATATCTGAAAGTCAGATGGTAGAGATAATACACGAAAATTGGGGATTTGCTGAGAGAAATTGCTCCAATGGAAAGTGACATCCATTGGAAAGTGACAATGACACACCTGCTTTATTGCATCCATTTGATCTTCAACAGAAGAAGCTGTTGTTACGCAGTGAAGTACCTTTCCCCATGCTTCGCTGACAGGTTCACCTACGCAATTAATGGATGAAACAATGCATAAAAGATAAAATTTTGGTTCTCCAAATTGTAATTGTGAAGCAATAAATTAGCAGGGATAATGTTGTCGATGGAAATATAAAAAAGAAGATAAATCATGTGGGTGATTCCCACAATCTTTCGGCTTTCACACACCTACACGCGAAGAAAATGCATCAGACACCCTGACAACTTGAAATTCATTTTTCTTTCCACTTGACTTCATCGGGGAGGCCACCACGAACAACTGGGACGAATCATTCATTTTCGACAATCTTTCTGTTATTGTTTGTTGAGACACAGGGCAACTTAACCTGTGCCGCCACGTTCAACACGGAAACAAATGAGTCCCGGCGTCGTCTGCTAGCCGTGAACCGGCGGCAAAGTGGCTTGTTGTTGTGGTGGTTTCATTCCATTCCGTTCTTTGAAATGGATTTTGGTGGCCTGGTTAGGAAATTTGCATTGTTTGCTGTGCTGTGCTGTGTTCGAAATTGGGTGTGTGGAGAAATTGTAATTGATACGCATGAAAGATTGTGTGAAGTTAGTAAGAACTTTCTAAGTGTAGCTGTTGATACAAATTTTATTTTCAAACATGATTTGACCAAATTTTTGTAAGTTTGACCAATTTTATTACCATTGGGTAGGATATTTCAAACGAATATGAATTCACCTTTCTTTTCTTCATTCAGGGGGAGTGCAACTTTTATGAACATCTTGAGTGGCTTAAGACCGGCTTATCTGCGAATTGGGGGTACCGCTGCTGATACCGTCATTTTTGATGAAACTTTTACTGATGACATTCCTCCAAATAGTGATGGTGATGACCTCTCCCTCATGGCGAATTTGAGTTGGAACGTTGAAGAAGATAGCTGCATCAGTAGAAGTTGGCCAGATTTGTATTTATCTGGTAAGGTTCTGCGGAAAAGCTTCTCCATCTGTGTTGCTTGTCTTTCGTGTTAAATGTTTGTTTCTCTTGTTTTCTTTTCAGGTGATAGATGGTTAGCAATAAATGCTATAGCTTCTAAGGCAAAATTAAATCTTTTGTTCGATTTGAATGTTCTTCTTCGAAAGACATCTGGAGAATGGAACTCAACAAATGCTCAAAAGTTGATTGAATTTTCTCAGGAAAATAATCTTTTATTGGACTGGCAACTTGGAAATGGTCTGATACATTAAGATTGTAGTGCATGCTGTGTTTCCTCTAATTCATCAATTCTAATGTGGTCGACACCTTCTATTTCTCCTCAGAACCAAACTCATTTTGCCATGTATTTGGAAAGCAAGTGCCACCCAGGCAATTGGCCAAAGACTTCAAAACCTTGTCGAGGATTCTTTCTAAATTTCCTCATTACCATAAATCTAAGCTTGTCGGACCTGACATCACTGCTCCAAGGGGTCCCAAGAAGCGGCAGGCTGCAACTCTTCGTTACCTCGACAGATTCATGGCAAAAGCTGGCAATACCATCTCTGCAGCATCATGGCATCAGTGAGAACTGTGGATGTCTATGGATCTGAGGATGTAATTTTTCTTTCTCCTGCTAATTACCAGTTATGTGTGGACATTATAGGTATTACTTTAGTGGGAGGAATGCAACAGTAGAAGAGTTTATAAAACCATCAATGCTTGATGTGCTGAAAAGAGAAATTCTAGATGTAAAGGCTGTGGTCATCAATAACACTGATGCTTTTTTCCCAGTGTGGTTGAGTAAGTATATGTCATGCTGTAAATCACGCTGAAGAAACTTCCCAAATTTAATTTTTATTCTCTTTTGCCTTAGCTGAAACTGCATCTGCGTTTGGTGGTGGGTCCCCTCACCTGTCAAATCGTTTTGTCAGTGGATTTATGTGGTTGGACAAATTAGGAATGGCTGCCTCACAGAATGTTTCTGTTGTCATCAGACAGTCGTTCATTGGGGGAAATTATGGACTTATTCATACCAAAAGCTTTGATCCAACACCAGTATGTCTCTCCATCATGTTGACATTTTATAAAATAATTTATTCCTACACCATGAGCAAGTTTTTTTAATTTACAGAACTATTGGATTGCTTATTTATACAAAAAGATTGTTGGTAAAACTGTTCTCAAAGTGAAAACAACAAGTGGCTCCTTAATACGATTGTATGCCCATTGCTACAAGAAGCACAAGAAGGCTGATTCTAGAAAAAACTCAATAGTAATATTTGGGATGAATTTAGGACACTCAAACTTCAAGGATGTTATATCAAAACAAGGCAGCTTGAAGAAATTTCACATTGAGAAGTACATACTAACTGGTGCAAATGACCAGCTTACTTCTAGGTATATTTTTATTTTAGTCATCAATGAAAGCTGAGAACATCTTGCAAAAATTTAATTTTATTTTTCCTGTTTCCAGGGACATTTGTCTCAACGGAGAAGTCATCAAAATGTCACCCGCTGCACAGCTTCCCGCTCTTAGGCCCCGACGCGAGACGACCAACACAATAGAACTTCCCCCGCACTCAATGGCGTTCTATGTCATCCGTGGCTTCCCAGCATCAGCCTGTAGCTAAATTGAATAGTTCGAAATAAACCGTCATCGCAGATTACTTCTAGTTTTCCTGCCTGGCACTCACTGATGGCTGACACTGATGACTGACACTGGGTGAGTGAAGTAAGAACATTACTTTGCGTCCTTTGGGTTGGGCGGTTGCGCGGGCGCGACGACTCCGTCTTGGCTTGGCCAGTGGACTGATTCCGAGAGTCGTTTTCGTCGCTCTGTCTCTCTCGCACCTATGCAGGACGCCCCATGAGTGCGAGAGAGAGCGACGAGAACGACTCGGAAACAGCCTGCAGGCCGGCCAGGCTTGGCCTTCCCTCTGCGCCGCGCGCTGCGCGGTCGACAACGACAAGGCCCCGGGCCCGGGAGGGCTGGGGGAGGGCCAGGGAGGGCGGCATGTTCACCGGCGAGCGCTTGCGCGCCGACCTGCGCGGCTTGCAGAGGCTGTGCGCGGACATGGGGGCTTGGGCCGGCGAGGAGGCCGTGCGCGTGGCCAAGCCTGTGGCGCCTGCTGCCGTGGCCGCGGTCGACGCACAGCTCCTCCAGGCGGTGCACGAGAGGCGAGTACAGACCGTTTGGCTTGTGGGTGCACTGCAGTGCGCTGGCGCCGCGCCATTGTTGCGGTGGGTTGCTGGCTGCGTCGAGGTGTTCAGGGGCGGGTCCAGATCTGTCTGGGGGGGGGGGTTCTCGTGTAGGAGTAGGCTGGAAAACCCCTTCCTGCTCTGACAGGACGCTGGCGGCCGTGGGGCTGCTGCTGCGCGCCCTGGAGGCGACGCCGCGCGCCCAGCCCGTGCCGCGGCTCTGCCCCTGCGTCTCTCGGCCGCCCCTGCTCAACGCGGCGGCCCTCGTCGCCCTGCTGTGGGCGCAGGTGCGGCAGCTGGGCGGGGCCGGCGGGGGGCGAGGCGACGCCGGGGATCCTCCGCCGTCGCCGCCGTCGCGGGGGTGCTGCAGCTACGCCACGCAGACCGAGGCCTCCTGCCTGCGGCGGTGCGAGGCGTGCTGCGTGGCCGAGGCCGCCGTCAAGGAGCTGGTCGAGGCCTTCTGCGACAAGCTGGAGGAGCCGTCGGTCGCCGAGGAAAAGTGCGTGGCGCGGGAGATGTACATTTCCCATATCTAGTGTAGTTGTTCGCTGAGTAGTCCGATTCCGCTGCACCCACTTGTCGCTCTGTCTCTCTCGCTCCCCTACGGCAGCGGGGAGTGCGGGCAGCGGAATCGGATTACAGTGGTTCCCAACCTTGCGGTGTCGCGGGAAAACATTGGGGCGACCGTTTGCGCAGGGTGGCGGTGGCGGCGACGCTGTGCACGTCCAGCCTATCGCAGTGGGGTGCCATGCGCGCGCTCACGGGTGCGCTGTGCCGCGACCTGGACGCCGCCCTGCGCGCGAGGGGCGCCGCGCTCGCCGGCCTGGAGCTGGAGCGCGCCGCGGCCAGGCAGGCCCTGGCGGACACGGAGCAGGCCATGCAGGCCGCGGACCAGGCTAGCCGCCGGGCACGACTAGGTAGTCATTACCGCGGCGGAATCGCGCTGCAGCAGACGATTCCGGGAGCCGTTTCCGTCGCTCTGTCTCTCTCGCACCTATACGGGACGCCTCATGAGTGCGAGAGAGACAAAACTTTGCGGCATTGCCGTTGCCTTTCGCTGCAGCGGACGAGGAGCGCGACGCCGCGGAGCTCAAGAGCCTCGCGGCGAGCAGCAGGCTGGCGGAGCTGGAGGCGCAGGGTGGGTGCGAGTGGAGTGGCCTGCAGGGCCGCAGTCGAAGAGCCTTCGGACCATCGGACGGCGTGCTTGCAGACGCCGCCAGGCTGCAGGAGCTCGCGCGTCTACGCGAGATGGTGCAGGCGGCGCGGGGCCGCGAGGACGCCCTCCTGGAGCAGCTGCGCGCCGCCAACGACGCGCTGGAGGACGCCGAGGGACGGCTGCGGCTGGCCGACGACGACCAGCAACACAGCCGGCAGCGCGCGGAGGCGCTTCAGGCACGTGGCGGTCGCGGTCGCGGCGCCGTGCAGCAGACTGATTCCGACGTATCGTTTCCGTCGCACCGTCTCTCTCGCACACCCCACGGAACGCCGATTGAGTGTGACAGAGACAGCGCGACGAGGCGGTCATCCCTCGGAACCAAGGTAACAGACACACGTTGTTGAAGGCGAGCACCGTTCCCGTTCCCGCCTAGGTGGAGCACGTCAAGCTCCGCAAGCAGGTGAAGCTGGCGCAGGAGCGGCACGCGCTGCTGCTCAAGTACCCCGACCTCCACGGCCCCATGCAGCCCCTGCAGCACGGTAACTGACTCGCCGAGCCACCCGATTTCGAGGGATCGGTTCCGCTGCGCTGCCTCTGTCGCACTCATGAGGCGCTCCGCAGGGGTGCGAGAGAGACAGAGCGACGGAAAGATCCCTCGGAGTCACGCCCACCGCCCACCCCAGCCGCGGTCGCAGAGCCTCTCACTCTCACTGCGACTGTCTGGACGCAGAGGCCGGCGACCCCGTCATGGACATGGAGTGCCAGGTGCGCGCCAACGAGGTGCGCGTCGCGCTGCTCACCAAACAGAACGATCGTCTGCGGGCCACCATCGCCAAGCTGCGCGCCCTCGCCGCGTCCGGCCGCCCGCCCACGCGCAACCACTCCAGGTCCGTCTGCACACTCATTCTGTCTCTCTCGCACCCATGAGAACGCCCCATGAGTGCGAGGGAGACAGAGCGACGAAAACGACTCGGAATCAGTCTGCCGTGGAATCGGACTGTGTGCCCGTAGAGGCCTGTATAATCGCCTTTAGGTGCATGTGGGCCTCTACGTGCCTCTCCTCATTCCCCAGCGTGCATCGCGCCCTGTGCCACAAAAGCTAGAGGCCCGCATTCCCTTTGGGGGATGGAGGGATGTAGGCTGCTACCGCCCGCGAACTCCAGGGTAGCCTGTCCCGCCCAGCACGGATGCCCGGCGGGCTGGCCTCGGCCTGCCTGGCAGGCGCTGAGGTCTCCTTGACTTGACTTGAAAGGCTAGACCACAACTGCCATGTTTGCACTGCACAACATGATATACCGTCCGTGCAAAGAGCAGGACAGTCGTGTCGGCGTGCTGGCTCGTCGTCGCACTCATGGCTCGTTCCGCGGGGGTGTGAAAGAGACAGAGCGACAAAGCGTCTCTTCGGAATCATTCGGCTTCAGCGTGCATTTCAGCCTCACCACTCGATGCGCGATGACACCCTTCTCGTTCTTCCAGACCGACGTCCGCGTCGTCCCCGTCTCCGGCCCCGTCACCCTCGACTCCCTGCGCGCCCGCAGCCAGTTCCTGATGCCTGCGAAAGTAAGATTTCATTTGCTAGGTTCAGGCTGCTCGCTGGATTTTTTTTTCCTGCGGAAAAGGAACTTTTAAATGGGTTATTGCGTTTCGTTTTTGAATTTCGCGCCTTCCTCACGAACAAACGAGCATCTTCATTTGCTGCCGCCGCGCCGCCGCCGTCGCCGGACTGTTTACTGTGGAAACCGTCGTACACATGTTTCTGTTTATTAAGTTTTTCAAGAGAAATTAGACAGGTAATGTGCGCCCACTTTAGAGCATAACAAATCGCCAAGCTAGCCCAGGTTGTCGTTCACTTGAGTGCGATCGAGCCCCCGCCGAATACTTTAGTTTGCCTGTGGAAAGACGGTTCTTGGTTTTGGCATGACGTGATAGGTTAAGTGAACGCCCTATTTTGGGTAGTTTTCACGTCACGTACTTCTTCTTTTCCCGTTCAAAGTATGATTTTGGAAAATTAAATTAAATGGTGGGGCATTTCTATTTGGACTGTTTACATTAAGTGTCCAATTCATTATTGTTTGGCCATCATTATCTTCTGGGAACTTGTCTTCAGAACGTATTTAGATTCTCGAAACTTTATTTTGTTATTTTGTTTCAGGAACTTCACGATGATTATCCCTGTTCGTTGCTTCACATGTGGGAAGGTAATTGGAAACAAGTGGGAAGCTTATTTGGGTCTTCTTCAGGCAGAGTACACAGAAGGGTAAGTTGCCCATTCTATAAAATTTTACTTTTTATATGGTATATTCACTGACATTGTTCAATCGTTATATGTGATTCTGGTTTCTGCTTTGATTTTAGTGATGCCCTCGATGCCTTGGGTTTGAAGAGATACTGCTGCCGAAGAATGCTGCTGGGACATGTAGATCTTATTGAGAAGCTTCTAAATTATGCTCCTCTGGAGAAATAGCTTTATAAAATGATGACATTTCTTGATAGCATTACAGAATGGAATTTTTAATTCAGTGCTTTTGTATATATGTGATCAGTTTCCTACATCTAAAGAACTACAATGTGTTAAGTTGATGTCACGAATGGAGAACTATGTGACGTGCTCTTATTTTAATGTTTGTTCCTTAAACTTGAAATGTAAATAAAGTGTATTTGTATTCAGTATGTAAACTGGTTTTTGATGACTGTCTTCTTTCCTTTCCTCATCGGATTCACATGCCATAAGTGATTCACTATTGATGAACTCAACTATCACAAATGCACCCATCATCATGGAACTTCTAGTTATTTTGAGGAGTGTAGGGAATGCAATCATTTCAAGCTGCACTTTGTGAGCTATCGAATAATCAGCCATAGAATACAAAAACGTGACACTCCCTTCACAAATTTAAATGTCTCAGGAAAAATAAATCAAAAACCAGGCGCGTGTGCCCCTCTCGCCTTTCCCCTCTCTCCCCACTTTCTCCTTCTGAACGGCAGCGCCACCTGGTGGCACGACGAGCAAGTAGCGCAAGTAGCGCTAGCAGACCGACTAGCTGTTGGTACAATTCTGATACTATTTGGACGTTCTTTTAGTGAATATTTGTCGACAACGTCTATATTCTTTTATTTCTTATCTTTTTATGTGAAAGTTAAGTGAATTTCGAGAAATCATGGCTCACAGACGGCTCGTTCCCGAAAACAAGGGTCTTCAGAATGTGAGTACTGAGCTCCCTAACCTACTAGTTGTTAAGTGAATTACTTTAATTTCTGGTCTGTCCATTAAATATCTTACTAAACCATAAATTTTCTGGTTGCTATGCATGATATCATGTTTTGAAATAGGTTCCATCTTTTTGGGGTTGTCTTATCGAATATCATCATAAGCTGAACGTAATCCAGTTTTGTATTTCAGGTGACCAAATTATATTATGTGCCCAAACCATCTGTTCTCAACGAAGGAAGAGGCAGAAATTTACCAGATGCATTCAAGCGATTTTATTTGGAGCTAATTCAAGAACCAGCAGCGGTTCACCATATTCCAGAAAAAAGGAAATATATTCGAGACCCTGCGACAGGAATAGTGTTAGTGCAATTTTATCTTTTTTAATGAATAGGTGCTGAATCAGCTTTGAGAAATTTCAATCAATTGGAATGTTGCATTTTACAGGAGACGAGGACAGGATGACCCTCCACCAGTTATATATCCAAAAGCTTTCCACAAAGGACTTTGGGGTGGCGCCGGCATTCTCAAGGGTTTCTCCCACAATAATCCTAAATTACAGCGGTTCCCAAAATATTGGGCACCTCAGTATGAAACATCTGTTGTTTATAGTGAAGTTCTGGATATGTTCATAACTACCATAATGACCAAGAGAACTATTCAATTGATTCACAAACACTATGGGTTTGACCATTACTTGCTGCAGGTATGAAACATACCTCATAACCCATTATCCAAAAGTTTCATAAGTTTTATAATGTCTGTTTCCTTACCCTTAGACTCCTGCATGTGATCTCAAATCTGATCTTGCTTTGAAAATCAAGAGGAATATTCTGCTGGCTTTAGATAAAAATGAGCTTCCTCATACAAATCCAGAAAAGAGGGAGCAAGTTTACAATGCCTACAAACATTATTTAGAGAAGGTCTGTTGTAGAGATGCGTTAGTCTTATTGTAGTCAGTATGTTATGCTCATGGTTGGTTTCTATTTTTGTTCCCCAGTATGACAGTGAATTCATTGAATGGTATGGTCTTAAAATCTCTGAAGCAATACTAAAGATGGAGTTTGAAATGGAGAAAGCTGCAGGCGCACCTCAGCCTTTAAAAGTGCTTTATCGCAAAGAATTTTTACAAGAACTCCAAGAAGCAGATATAAAGTGGGTTAAGTTACATTAATTGCAATTATAGTTGAAAGTTTCAAGCAATTTCACTGATATCTTCCCCGTTTATTCCTTCTTCTTTTAACAGGAAAGAAGAATTAGAAGATCAACCAGCACCTGCCAGTGGAATTTCTTCCATTTTCAGTAAACTGAATCCATTCAAGAGAAACAATTAATTACTAATTTGTATTTTGTTAATTTTGGTAGTGAATGCTGTATCTCTTGGTCAGAAAAAACTAATACAAGAAAATGTTACAGTTTACTTGCGACTTTTATTTTACCAGTAAGGCAAACACTCTTTTATCCACAATAACAAACTTAATACATTTCAGGATTATCAAAGAAATAGAATCAATAATCCATCAGTCTTTCACAACGTACATTTTAAACTACATCAAATACCATAAATAGTTCTAGAATAGATTTATTTTCTTTGTTCAACTGATAAGTAAAATCTGTAAAGTGAAGGTATCAGGTTAGATAAGTACATACCAAATACATATTCAAATGAGTGGGCTAAGAAAAAAAAACCAAGTCGGCACTTGGTGGCTTAGGACTGGTTGCCAGCTCTGCTAGCTATACAATTACAGTTAGGTGAAAAACAAACCAACTTTCTTAACTATAAAATGCAAATTATATTATAAAAGAAGTATAAATGACGGGCTGACATGTTGAAAACAAAGACAGTACAGACATGCACTTCTCTAGCTTGATAGCATCATACCTAATATAATTAGTGACGTAAATTGATCTAATTTAAGCTGGTTGCAACTTTCTTATTTTTTGTAAAGTTTCAATAAATATCTATACAAATTAGCATTAGCCTTAATACTGATAAATATTCTAATCCATGGAACTATAAGAAGTTTCACATCTACAATCCACAATCTCTGAGAAGTGCAAGGTGTGAACAAAGTAACCTCAAGTAAATCAGTGTGAATCTTTGAACTCTGATGACATACGTGCAGAGCATGCCTATCTACTGCAGAAATTTTTAATACAATTTTTCCAAATGAAAATAAAGAAGTTTCATGACAGTTTTTTGAGAAGCAGTATACAACATTGTTGTGTTATCAACATACGTAAGTTAGAATAACACACCATGCCACTAAGTAAATGATCTATCGTGTTTACAGCCAATTTCACAGAGAGTATAGGGTAAGGACTTTTATTGAAGCAATTATGCTGGAAGGGCATACTGAACTATGAAAGATAAAAGAATATGAACAAAGTTTAAAACACGTTAGCTCATCAAAAAGTAGAAAATTGATTCAAACCCTTTACATTTTGTTCTATGTACAAAGAAACTGTAAAACCGGGAGAAAAATAAATACGAAACATTCTGTAAAGACATAAATGAAAATCGAACAAGGCATGTTTTACTAGAAGTCTCACTAGAATCACTCTTTACTTTATAGATCCTGAATGCCTTTTAGTTAATTATTCACTTTATTGGTAAAAACAAAATATAATCAAACAAAAGAAAAAAAAACAGTACTACAAGAAAGAAACCAATTAACCAACTTGACTTAGGTGTAAATCTAATCCCATGAATAGAACAAAGGCTAAAACAAAATTGTATGTTTCAACTGAAGTTCTCTGCCAAGCATGCTCAGCTTCATTAACAAACCCACATCCTTATCAAAAGAATCTCTTTGATAGTCATGGGTATAAAACTATTCTTTATTTGGATCAGCACATTTTCAATTAATGTAGCTAATCCAATCTTGTCACAGCCAGTAGATTTAGCTTTCATCAGCATAGGAGAAGATTACATTAACATGGGTGGTTGAGCAGATTATTCAACAAACCATAATTTATTTAATTATTTTTTAACACTTATGTACAATGTTCATTTTATTTTATTTTGAACATTTGTTAATCTTGCCTACACAAATATGCCACAAGAACAAACCATTCAAAGATCTAACACAAACAACTACATATACCGCTGAGAGGTCTACAAGAGTGTAATAATTTTAGTAAACACCAAATAGCAGTTTTACAAACTTCCCTAAGAAGCTAGTAAAAAAAAGGATGATTTGTACTCTCCAGAGTGAGGACTTTGGTAGATGCGACATTAAATGACTTGATTCAGCTCAGGACAAAGTTTGTGCACAAGTATGGCAGGTAAAATGACCTCAATATGAGGTAAATACAATAGTGATAATTAATGAGAAAAATTTTAAAACACACCTTGATTAACATCACCAAAGTGTCAAAATCTACTTAAGATAGTTGATTGTATCTGAAGTCTGAACTCAGAGGAAGAAAGTGAGCTTCACCACAGGTAAGATTGCTCAGGTTGAATCTGAGAGAAAAGAAACATTGGAGTTAGAGGGTTCTATAGACAAGGCAAAGAAATATTGAGCTTAGTTTGAGCTTGGTACCTTGGTAAGCTGAGGTGTGAGAAACGGTGGCTGAGAGTTGGAAGAAGAGCCTGTGGTGTGCTGTGGCGGAGGCCCTGGACTTGATAGTATGGGGGCCATTGTGATGCCTTGAGTCAGCATGACTGTATCGAGCTGTGGTTCCAAGTGTGGGGGTGCAATTTTGTCTTGCTCCAGCTCTGAGGACCAATTACAAGCTGAATAAAATATTACTCAGACCAGTGAGAAAATAAATGTTGCTGCGAGATAAACGAACCTTCACTAGGTGGTCCTAGTTCTTCGGCAAGGGTGAGATGAGGCATGCCTTGGTACCCATTTAGATCCAAATTGTATTCATCTTGATTCGTTCCATCCGGTAAAATAGATGGAACTAGGACTGGCGCAGTGTCTAATGAATAAGGATGATCATTGTAAGCCACATATGCTGTAGCACAGTGGGACATGTAAGCTGGCTGCCCAGTGTAAGGTCCAACTCCGAATTGGGATGTTGTGGGACCAGCAGTGGCATTAGGTCGAATACTGGGTGGAAGAGCTGTAACAATGCAAAAATGGAAACATAATCAAACAGTGCAAGAAAATTTCACACATTTCACAACTAACTTTCCATTGAACTTCAAAGCCCTATTGGAGACTTTCATGGATGGTTCAGTCCTTGGGAGCCAATCAATATGAATGTTTATTACAACCAATAGGAAAAACTGTGGAGCACTAGACACACATGAAGTCAAACTAAAAAAAAATGCAGTGAAATACCAAACTGAGAACCTGATACCTAGGATGGAGGGGGAAAATGTGTTTGTGAATAAGAAAAGGAAAGTAAAGGGTGAGTTGGTGTAAATTTTTTCAAATAAAAATGTAGATAGGATCAGTTAGAGTTTACTTCCTTAAGAGGTGCTAGAGACGAATAGCTGCTGTGCACTGTGCAGGAAGGACTTGCTACCAGCAATATTCAGACAGTGTTTAGGATTATTTTTCTTTAGAAATGGTTATTACTTATTATTATTTATGAAACTTGAAAAAAACTATGCTAGGAGTTGCTGAAAACACTTGAGATTGCCTACAATGAAAAAGCTTAGTTCTGCTGTCATTTCTGGAAAGACAAATAAAAACAAAATAAAAGGGAAACCATACCTGTAGCAATTTGTTGGCTGCACAGTCCAGCTGGCATGCTGGTGGCAGTGGTCTTGTCCACTCCTGTGTGGAGGTACTGTAAATGTTCAGGAGCCCCTGCCTGCAGGGAGCCAGGAGAGGAAAAGCCAGCCACAGGGAGCGGTAGAGATTCATTTGGGAGTAGGGTATGCGAGACTTGAGATGTCATGGGTACCGATGAGTGCGATGAAGAAACATCAGCAGTAGTAGTGTAGACAAATGATGGGTCATATGGTTCTGGATAAGGATATGTTTGATATGATCCCGTTAAAGAGGACATGGGAGGTAACGGGGGCCGGGGCATGCAATTCCCGAATTGAGGAACTGGTGATACAGGTACAGGATGTAAGCTTTGAGGTGCAACATTAGAAAGAGGTGACATTGACATTTGCCCTGGTGGACAATTTAGTTGGGAAGAGCCTCCAGGCCCAGGGTGAGCAGCTAAGGGATTATATGAGGTAGGAGAGGTGTTGTCTGATGACAAATGGGGGTGGGTTACAGGTGTGCGTTCAAGTGATGAGATGGTTTGGGGTGATGGTACTGGACAAAGGAGGGGATTAGAAATATCTTGATGAGATTGCAATGGCAAGGAATTGACTGAATGAGCTTGTGAATATAAGACAGGGGGGCTAAGATGGCTAGTTGCTAAGCAGTATGGCACAGTCTCTTGAGGAAGGTGGTGATTATCACTCAATGGAGGAGGGATCCTGCTGCAATTGGCCTGGGCATTCGTTGCTGCAGTTGATTGAAGTGATGCTGGCGGAGTGAAGGCAATTGTTGCAGGGACATTCACAGGTTCTGGTGTTGCAGGCCCAGGAAAACTTCTAGAGTTATTCTCAACTAGATGCATATTAGGTTGATTTGCTTGAGATGTACTCGCTGGTGCTCCAGACAACATGTTGGCCAATGCAGAAGGTGATGATTGCAAAGGTTTGGCTGCTATGGATGTTGCTGATGGAGCTTGTCTGACAATAATCCTCGGATGAGGTCCTCTTGTATTCAGAGGGCCAGCTCCACGAGGTTGAGCTTGAACTGAAACAGGTCTTAAAGTCTTGGGGGCATTCTGCCTCAAACTCACAGCCTGCGCTGCACGTAACATTTGTCCTCCTTGAGGTCGAACGAGTCCTGCTTGAGGTCTCACAGCATTAGTCCGAATTATCTGAGCACCAGGTCTCACTAAGTATGGTCGTGATGCCACTGCCCGCACTGCTGTTTCTGGTAAAGCATGTACAACCTTACGGCCTTGAGCGTCAACCCGTTGTAGACTCACTGACAATGCGTTACTCTTCATGTTTTTGCTTAAGGCTGCAAGAGGGTTCTTTGCAGAAGTCTGTTGGCGTGGTTGTCCCAGCATGGCTTTTATAGCAGCTTTTCCGGTTGATACGTTTCCATTTTTATGCACAATAGAGAGACTAGGTCGCACCTGTGTCTGGGTCATCCTACCACCCACCTTCGTTGTGGCTGCTGGACTCGTAACAAGATGGGGAACTTGACCTGTCACACTCACTGGTCGAATCTGAACACTACCATCGCCTACAGTTATTGGTGGCATATTACCTTTTTTAACTCCAGCTTGAACAACTTTTGAAACACCGCTGCTGCCAACTAGAACTGAATTTTGCACTGTCACTGCTCTGCCTTTAGGGCCATGGGGTACCCAGTTTCCTCCAACTCCAGATGATTTTGCAGGGGATGAAATGGCAGCAGCAGGATGTTTCAGGATCCTGGGGGCTGGGCGTTTTGCCTTGCGCTTGGGCTCCTCTTGGTCAAAAGTCCAATCTTCATCTAGCTCTGGCCTTTTTCGTATATCCCTGCGATAGCTGTACTCATGATCTCCTCGCTCATATTCTGAAACAAGGAGAGTTTGTTGTATGGCATAAAACAATGAAATAATAAAATCTCAACAAATGGTAAATCAAGACAAAAAAAGTGGCCGCAATTGTCACAACCTCGAAGCACAGGCAAAACAATATACAGTAAAAATTAGTACAGACATGCACAAATGAGTGAATCCTTACCAATTTCTCCAGCCTTCTCATACAGTTCGGTCAAGCCATCATCAGGATATACTTCAACATCAGGTTCAAAGTAACCTTCACACTGTTCCAAACGGTCAGCGGGTTGCTCTTCTACCTTGCATGGTGGCTTATTAAAACAGCTATTGTCAAGGTCATAGCCTCCTTTAAACTCATCTTCACATTCTTGTTTGACATCATCCTCATTTTTGGCATCAGTACCACTACAACTTTTTTTCCTGTGTATTGGATGTCGCTTGGGATTCTTCTTTGGAGATTCTTTTCCTAACTCTCTCATTCTGTAAAAGATATCATATTGTTAAAGTTTATATTAAATGGAGAAATGAACGTTCAGACGAGTTTTAAATCTTCAAAGTGATATGCATACATCTTCAGGTATTCAGGATCAGGATGAGGTGCAGGCTTATGATGATGTGGGTCTTCAGGATGGCAACCATAGTCTTTACCCTCTTTCCACATGTCATAGCGGTCTGGTTGAAATCGTTTGACAAATAAATCCATATTTATCTTGACCATATCTTCCCTACAAGAACATTGAGAAGCTCTCTTTCCATATTCTACCCATCGCTCTGAAGCAAAATTCGTTGACTCCGCACAGTTAAATCCATGATTAAATCCTGAATGATAACCAAAGGGGAAAGTTATGATGAATTCCCCTTCTTCTTGAGTTATCTGTTAAGCAGAGAAAAATTAATAATACTCAAACGGTTACTTGAAAGACAAAGGACTTCATTGGTTCAGATCAAATTATTATGTAACTATTAAAAAAATGACTACCTTATTGTAAGGAATAGAGTGATGTCTTAAAACTTGAGGTGATATAATTGACATTTTATGCCTAAGAAAGGCTGGACAAGATTTTTGGTCAGGAAAAAAGCCATCAGCCAGTCTTTCCAATCGACGGCCATGCTCCGGTGGGATTGCATACCTGCAGAGAGAAAACATTTAGTCTTCCAGTCAGGAAGATTAAATATTCCAGCTTAATTAAACAAGACACATACCAGGTTTTTGGAGCTCCAAAGTGTAAATAGTTTATACTGTATAGGTCCATATCTTCTGTATGCCAAGCAAAAGTTGTCTTCCACATGCCAAAATAAAGGTAGGCAGTAGTTACACCATCAATACTGATGTGATACTCATCACTAATACAATCTAAAATTGTTCCTAACTTATTTATATTCCACACCTGTTGAAGAAAAGAAAAACTATGAACTAGGAGCAAGGACTAGAACAAGATAAAACATGCAGAAAAATATAGTTTACAGTTATATCTGGATCAGTCAGGGTTCCAGAGACATCTGCTCCATAGATTGGTGGGTTGTAGGTGATGTTCTTCCAATATTTCCTTTCTAGATCTTCATAATCACGGTGTCTTGGAGTCCCATATCTGTTTATAATAAATGTGTTAAAACACTTTTTAGCAGAACAAAGAATGAAAACTAAGCTTGATACTAACTTGTCTGAGTCAGCCATTTCACGAAATTCCTGGACAGTCATTGCCTTCTTTTGAATATTATATTGTTGGTATAGGCCTTGCTTTCCATTGACAACTTGGCAAATAGGAGCAGGTATTGTTACATCAATGTCCTTGAGATCATAACCAGATTTTCTTGGAACCCATTCTTTGGGAGCTACTACCTAGAAAACAAGAAAAATTACATGACAATGTAATAGAAGGCAGGACTTAAGTTGAAAGTGAAACTTTTAAAGGTTTCAGCATTATCATACTTTGGCTATTCCTCCTTTGTGTGCTCCTTTCGACTCCATATACTTGATGTACTGAGCAAAATCTTTAAACTCTTCATATGTGGGCCGGAAAACCATTATTCTTGGTTTCCCAGACCCTAGGTTGTCACCTGCCGTTTCTTCCATCTTAAAGAATTTTAATCTGCAAGCATAAGAAAAATCCAAGTGTGAGTCTTTTGAAAGTATGGCAACAATATGTCTTTGAACAAGATTGTATCTAGTATTTGTTTCTCTATAGATATGTGAGCAGGGTCAAGTAATCAGATATGGCTACAAATAAAACGTTGGAATTGTTCACAATCAATTCACATACATTTCAATAACTCGCTCATAGTCTCAAAGGAACACAACATTTGTGACAGACAGTGTATAAGTAAGAGTGTTAAAATTAAAAGAAGGGATAAGTTCGACCTTAAAACTTGTCAATATAATCATAAAGGATTCGTTCTATGATTGTACCTGTTAACGAGGAACACAAAGACAAAATGTACAGTTCATTGATTACAACAGTGTGGAAGTGTTGACAATGTGATGTACGAAAAACGATCAATAGTTTTCAGATTTTGAGTCATCGTAAAAAGGTACGATAATCGTGTTACATCAGTATTATTGTTATTGTATGGTACCCGTAACCTACAAGCTGACGGCAAGATGTCAGCCAAATCAAGATGGCGTTCTTGAACGGCAACAGGAAAGGAAAAATATCGTTAGATGAACAAAAGAGGCTGCTAGAATAATATTTAAGTTAAAGCCGTCTAGAAAATGGAAGAAAATAGAGACAGACAAATACTACACGCATTTCCACTACAGCGAGTATTCCATGAAAATTTGAAGTGAAGCTCTTTAAAAATGATGCACGATCGTACACAATGAGCTTAACTTGAGAAATCCACGAGGATTTGAAGAAGAAACGAGAAAGTGATGTAAGCACAAATATTTCCTCACTTTAAACAAGTTTCATCATCAGATATTCGCTGTTTACACTGCACAAATCTTTGGCGAACATCAACCAAAACAGCGGAAGAGTAGGCCTAAAAACAAGGAAATGGCGGGGTGCCTTCTGCTTGCCGAAACAGTCGATGGTCCCTTGTCTTGTTTGTGGTCGCTGTGGTCGACAAGTTGGCAAATATTTGAGTAATTCGGTGATTATGCTGGCTAAACTTCACGATTTCAAAGAAAGGGATATGAAGTAACTATTGCATCGACTTAAAAATGTTTCCTTCGAAATTAAAAGGACATAACGTGAGGGTGTTCTGGAATGCACCCCAGCCATACTCCCCGGCGGGGAGTCTCTGAGGCGAGGGGTATCTGCGCCCGCCTAAGGTCATGTCGTCGTGCGCCTGGTGGTGGCGCGGTGGCGGGGTGTGCAGGACTCTAGGTGGCGGCCCTAGTGTCCTACAGCTGCTGGCTCTACGGAAGAATTCTCTCAAATATTTAGTGTTTTTCTGAAAAGTGTTTTATGCTGCCCGAGGCTTTATTCGGAGGAAGGGTTTCTCCCGAATCCTAGTCGCAACCCCTATAGGCGGTTGGGGGTGGGGAGGACACGTCTTGCTCTTCAAGTCGCACTGCTTTCTTTTCAAATAACTGCAAGTGTACCTTATGTTTGCAACCAACCGCAGGCATTCCTCCTGGATCACCTGAGCAAGGAGAAGTCCGCGCTGGCTGCGTTGGCCCTGCGGAGGCTGCACGACAGACACATTCCGAGACTCGGTTTCGTCGCTCTGTCTCTCTCAGACTCATGAGATGTTCCTATACGACGAAAACGAATCAGTGTGCGGGCTGCAGTAAGAGTGGTGACGGTGACTCGGCCGATGAAGGTGCATAGGGGAGGGGGAGGGGGTTGTGATGCTGCGTCATATTGCACGGCGCGAGGCGGCGGCGTGACGCAAAGACCGCGGCCCGGGGGAATTGGAAGGGGGGAGGGAGGGGGCGACCATGCAATTAGTGAGAAACGTGCGACGCTACTGCGGGTGGCGGCGGCAAGGGGTGGCGAGGGGTGGCGAGGGGCGCCAAGGGTTGGGGGTGGAGTTTCACGCCGAGACGGGGAGGGGAGGGGAGGGGAGGGGCTGCACCGCCGGATCTTCAGCGAGGTAATTAGAGCGAGGGAACAGTGATGGAATAGAAAGAGACGAAAAAGTGGGGGGGGGGCTACGTTCGGGATCAGGGAGGGAGGAAGGGGGGGGGGAGAAATATGGAGACGTGCCATTCGGGGAGAGTGATCGACTGCGACTGTTTGCTCGTGGCAAACAGTCCGGGGGGCTAGAAGGGGAAGGGCGGGGCAGTGAAGGGCAGCATCTGCCGCCAAGTCTGCCGCCACCCTCCGGCCTCCGGGCGAGCGGCCACGAGCGGCGGCCAGATTGTGTAGAGTCCGAGGCCTTCTCAGGCGGAGTGGCAGCGCGGCGGCGTCCCGGAGCGCCATGACAGGAGGGGCTGCCGCGCGGCGCGGCCGGCTTGCCATAAGTCGCGGGGCGGAGGCGAAGCGCGGCGCAGGCTTGGACTTTCGCGGCACGACGGCCGAGCGACAAACTCTGGGAAAGCGTTTTCGGCTTAAATCAACGCGCTATCCTGCGGCAAACTTTAAAGTCGTTTAGCCTGTTGCACCGCCCGTGCCTGCCGCTGCCTCTCCTTGAGCTCCGTGGGCCGCGGCGCTGTCCGCACTCCTCCCTCTCGGCGCGGCGTCGCAGCGCGCCAGCGCGGGGCCGCGGTGACGGCCTCGGTGACGGCCTCGGTGACGGCCTTCGCGGCGTGTCAGCGGCGGCTCGGCGCCGCCGTTCCGAACAACCCCAACAACACCCGAAAGCAGCAGAGCGCCGGGGGAAGCGTCTAGCGCCGAGGAAGTACGAAGCGTGCCGTTGTCGCTTCCTGAATAATTTCCTCCGCGCCACGGTACTGCCTTGCCTGGCCTGGCGGCCTGGGCTGCGCCGCGCCGCGAGGGCGGATGACTCGCGAGCGCCAGTCCAGCGCCAGCAGCAGACTCATTCCGAGAGTCGTCTTCGTCGCTCCGTCTCTCTACACCCACGCCCATGAGTGCGACAGAGAGACAGCGACGAAAACGACTCTCGACCCCAGCCCCTGCAGTGCGCGTGCCGCTCGGCGTGCCGCGCCTCCACGGCTGTCACGGCCAGGCAGGCAGGGCGGCCCACGCTGTGCCACGCTGTGCCGGGCAAGGCGGGCGAGGCCCCGGGGCCGGACAGAGTCCACCGCGGCGGGGACGCGCGGGGGCGGAAGGGAGGGTCGAGGAGCAGGGGCAGCAGGGGCACGTGGCCGCGCTTGTGCCCAGCCCAGCCGCCCCGCCCCGTCGCCCCGCCTCTAGCCTCGCCTGCCCACCGCGCTTCCCCGACCAATTGCGCCGCCAGCGCCGCCAGCACCCTCGACACGCGACCCAGCAGCTGCCGACTCCCACGGCACGCCCCCCTCCCCCAACCCCGCCCCGCCCCGCCGCGCCACAGCCGCCGCTGCTTTAGTGGTGCTGTGCGTCGGGCTGGGCCTGTGCCGCGTCACGTGGTCGATATCTTTGGCCGTCTCTCTCCCCCGCGACCCTTTTCGCAGTCCGTCTCCGTCTGTCCGTCCGTCCGTCCGTCTGTCCACCGGTCCGTCCGTCCGTTCGTCTGTCTTCGCGCCGCCGTTTCCGCCGCCGCATGGGAGTCCTGGAAGTCCTGGCGGGAGACAGCCATCTCTCATCTTCGCATTGCTTCGCGCTTCGCATTCATTTAGATAATGCGCGCGTATTCCTTTTTTCCAGTGTTAATCTCTTATTCTCTTCCTTGGCATTTCCCTCTCGGCCCTCCTCTTTCGTCCCCGTTTACTGACCTGTCGTCCGCACGGCTCGCCAGAGCGAGCACAGTGCCCCGCCCCGCCCCGCCCCGCCCCGCCCTTCCGGTGCCCCGTCGGGGTGACTCGGGTGTGCGGGTCGCGTCGGGGAGCCGGGGCGGCCGGAGCGGGGCGGGGCGGCCAGGGCGGGGGAACGAACAGAAGGTGTGCGTGGGAGTCACCTGCCTCCGCCTCTGGCTGTGCCACTGGCCGTGCCTCTGGCCGCCCTGCTTCGTGCCGTGCCGTTCCGTTCCGTGCTGTTCCGGCGTTCCGTGGCCGTTCTTTATTCCTCTCCCAGGACAAAACCTCGCTCCGAACGCCCCACACCGAACCCGTCTCAGCTGAATGAGGTTTTTTCCCGCCGCCACCGTTGTTTCTTTGCCGCCGGGCGATGCTCAGGAATGGCCTTTTGAACTGCGAACGCGGTGCCCTACGACGGCTAGCAGACTGATTCCGAGAGTCGTTTTCATCGCTGTCTCTCTCGCACTCTCGGGGCGTCCCATACAGGTGCGAGAGCGACAGAGCGACGAAAACGACTCTCGGAATCAGTCTGCTGCGGCGTCCGCGGCGTCCTGCGGCCGGCCAGGGCCTCGCCTGCCGCGGGACTGGAGCATCCTTATCACGGCAAAAACTTTGCGGAGGTTCCCCAAGGGGCGCCGCGTCCTCAGGGATAGCCGTGAGAAAGCTGTCGGCCAAGGACTGGAAGTTCCGGAGGACTTTACGGAGCGTCCTCGCCGCCGTCCCCTCTCTCCACGCCATGGCCGTGGTCCGTGCCGTGGTCCACAGCCCACGCATTAGGCATCACCCGCCGCGCAAGGCGCCCATCCCTGGCCACCCCTGGCGGACGCCACAGCTTGGCTTCGCTGCGGGGCGGACGCCGGGCTGGGTAGGCAAGCCCGCCGAACAGGGCTGCGTTCGGGTGGACTACCCTCCAGGCGTTCTCTCGCACCGCTGCGGAACCCTTACGGGTGCGATGCGAGGGACGCACCCGCGTGGAGCAGTCAGTTCTCCCGGCCGTTTCTTCACCAGCGTTCGCCTGGACGACGTGCTGTCGGCGCGATTTGCCGACAGCAAAGCCCACCCAACCCCATGCCGTGAGTGTGACAGCAGCCTGATTCCGAGGGTCGTTTTCGTCGCTCTTTCTCTCTCGTACTCAAGGGGCGTTCTTTATAGGGGCGAGAGAGACGGAGCGACGAAAACGACTCTCGGAATCAGTCTGCAGCGCCGCGAACGGTGCGACAGTCATCGGCGTGTTATCTAACCCTCTGCCGCCACGACCGCCACGTGGTGCGCACGCGGGGCGACAGCGACCATCGACGGCCACCCCGCCGTCCGCGCCACACGCCACACCGGCCGCCCATCACGCGAACGCGCGACGCGCGAACAGGGTCGTGGTGCGCAGTGCGCGTTCACGCCGCACCGCGCCGGTGCGTGGCCCTCGCCTCGCCTGCCCGCCCTGCAGACTGAGAGTCGTTTTCGTCGCTCTGTCCCTCTCACTCTCATGCGGCGTCCCGTATTGGAGCGAGAGAGACAGAGTGATGGAAACGACTCTCGGAATCAGTCTGGCGCGCGATAAATAACGATTCTAATCCCGTTTCCCACTTTGCACATCTCCGCGCCGCGGCGGCGAGCGGGCAGCGGGGGCGGGGGAGGGGAGGGGGAAGGGGAGCACAGCCACTTTCCGGGCGGCGGCGCGTTGGCGGGGCCTCGGGCCTCGGCCAGCCGGGCGGACAGGGCAGGGCCGTGGAGGCTGTGCCGTGGCGTGGCACAGCGGCACAGCCAGAGGGTCGGTCCTCCGGTCCGCCGGTCCGGACTGCGCCGGGGGCTGCGCGCTGCGCCTGGCCTCTCGGAGGGGTCAGGCCTCGCGGCCCCGCCGGGCCGAGCCTCGCCCCTCGCCCCACCCAGCAGCACGGCGAGGGCGTGGCGAGGCGGCGCGGCGCGGGGAGCCTTGTTAGGCATGTGCTGGCGTGCACGTGACGGGGGTGCTCGTTATGGTGGCAGCGCACCAAAGAGCGGCTCAGCCTCTGGGGCGTGGCGCGGCGTGGCGTGGCGCGGCGTGGCGTGGCGTGGCGAGGCGTGGCGAGGCGTGCCATGGCGCGGTGGGTGACAGGGACAGGGCGGGGGTGGGAGTGCAACACGTCACGACCCGCGCGTCGCCGTGGGCAGGGCCGGCAGGGCCGTGCCGCCGTGCCGTGCCGGGGTCAGCTCGGTCGTCGAATTCTTGATGAAATATTCACGTGGCCGGCCGGAACGACGGGACCGCGGGCACGGCGCCGAATGAGTCCCCGCG